AACACCCTGGGTAATAAAGATAATGAAGCGCTATCAAAAATGAACGACTCAAAACCTGGACGACTCAAGACCACTTACTGGACGACGCAAAACTAGGACAATATTGTTTCGGACCATGGCACAGGAATGTTCAACTAGCGCCATTAACGCGAAATAAAGAAGGAATTGAGTTATTACCATCAATAAAAGCTTTAGGCGTCTATTTGAATAAGCACATGACATGGGACGACCACATAAATTACCTAACTAGCAAACTATCTAGTACATTAGGTGTGATGCGCCATGACTCTTTTGAATGTCATATAAGCACCAACGTGTTCTTATATAATGCTCTATACGTACCAATACTTAATTATAGATTGCTTAGTTAGAGGTACTACAACGAGACAAATCATTGATAAGCTTGCAGTTTTACAAAAAAAATGATTAGCATGCAAGGTTTCATACCTCTCACACACCAGGTTACCTCTTTATAAGACACAACCTTGCTTGGTAAGTTAATCTTTAACTATAATCTATGTCGGCAGTATAAATCTAGCTTAATAAAAAAACTAGTGCTCTACAAACTGCTAGCAGTATTACAGGATACCCTACTAGAGATATATAATATACGGCAGATCTGAACAATGGCAAATTAAGAAATGTCGCACCAGCTATGGTCAACAAATGCTTCGGTTCACGCTCAGCAGCTTTATTAAATAGAATAAGTAAAGAGCAGCTTTTTAACATTCGGGAAGCCTCATTTCAATAAATACGAAAAATTTTCAGCACAATATTCTTATCATGAATATGACTTATAAATAACGCAGTCGTTTTTTCTTTTTCGTATGTCACTGTTTTGAAAGGAAAATTTCATTTTTATTACATGTTTTCTTATTGTGTCTATGAAATAACTTTACTTGTTCTTTGAATGAAGGATGTTCATGTACAATATAATATGTGTACATTTCATTTCGCTGTTGTTTTTCTTCTTCTATTCTTTTTATTTTCCTTCGTTACCACCTTTTACGCTGTAGCACGTGTAGGGTGGCGAGGACACCCTCAAGCTGATTGTACCGGCTTTTTCCCGTGGTCTGCCAGAACATTGTGTTTTTATTAAATAAATAAATAAATAAATAATAAATAAATAAATAAATAAATAAATAAATAAAAAGACTCGCTCAATGCGACGTGTACGTGTGCGTAGAAAATGGCAACACTACAGCTTGAAAAACGGCTGACTTTCATTCCTGGGGGGCACTTTTTCCAGTTATCTACGCATCCAACAAAAGTGAAAAATCGTGCGAAATGTAACAAAACGTTTGCGATTGCAAGCACGTTACTCAATATCGGCGCTAGACAACACATCACGGGTTTCACTTAGGGGTAACCACGTGGCAACAACGCCTTGCTACGGGCATCCCACGCTTGCGCCCGGGCCCTGACTATCTCAAGTCCAGGAGGCTGTCGTGCAAGGAACGAAAATCATTCATGTTCATACTTAGCGCCACCGCTACGCAGAAGGAGAGCGAGCCGACTAAGACGCTACGCATGCCTTGTCTTGTGTATGCGCTTAGTATAATCATAGGCGACTTGTACCTACTTGCCCATCTAGTAACCTTGGTCAAGACAACTAGCTGGAAACTAACGATTCGCTTGAAAAATAAGAGAAAAAAAACAAGGATGGGTAATTACGGTTTGTAGGGAAATGATTGGATATACCCACGGCTAACAGGGTGAAAGACATATGGCTCCACAAATGTCAGTGATAAGTGTCGCGTTGATTCGAAGTGGCTGTTGTATGTGGCAACTCAATTTATCTTTTCGCCACGTCAGTGGTTTGCTATCGCAAAGGGTAGTGAGAGCCGCCACTCCAGTCAATGCCTGGTAGGACGATACGTAATCATCTGACCCACTGCTCATAACAGGGCTGATAAGAGCCTTCTCGCTTTATTCAGCGTCAGTTATTGTAACTGCCCGCACTCGCTGCTGCCTCGGACAACCACAGCGCATGAATTCCTCTCTCACCTTGGCAGCTCCTATTTGTATCGTTGCAAAACTATTAGCAGGAAAGTTTTGCAGCTTTTCTGAATATGAACCATGGGCGTCATCAAAGGGATGCAACACGTCGTTACCCCCTTGCAGACAAAATCTTGTCTATGAACGAATTATCGCAGCAGCAAAAAGCCTAATGATAGGCTCACAAGCTACATATAACCTTAACTATTTTGCAATAGCATCTACTTTGCAAATAGCATTGCTAAGGCAACGTTTATACAGTCCTCGGCCACGCGCGCGGTCTTTCAGTGATTATGTTGCTTCACTGCTTACCCGGACATCGCCAAATTTAATTCCGGCCGTGGTGGCAACACATTGACGAATGCCAAGGTTAAGAGGGCCATATGTCTAGATTTAGGAGCACGTTAACAAAGCACGCATGGCCGAAATTTTTGAAGCCCTCGTCTGTCATAATCATACCGTGGTTTTGAGACACAAGACTACAACTGTTATCGCGATGCCGGACGGCTGACGCGATGGTCGCAGGTTCGATACCAGTCACAATGTTCACATTTCGTTGGAGCCGAAAACGCTAGCAGCTTGTGTACTTAGATTTAGGTGCAGATAAAAAAATCCAGGTAGTGAACATTTTTGGAGCCCTACGCTACGGCACTTCAGAATATAATATTCGTTTATTACTACCTCGAGAGTCTAAAGGGTTATTACCTGAGGGGTGGGAAGAAAGTATAATAGGTTAAACAAAAAATCAAAACAACACAAACCATAAGAAATAGCGGTCGGCCATATTTACAAAGATAAAATATTACTTTTTAAGGTGATTTTAAATTGGGCAAACTGAATTGAAATGGCAATGTGGGCGAGAAGGTCGTTCCAGTATTGTATATCTGGCATATCTTTATTTTTGGGGGGTATGGGAAGGATGGCGTTGGGGTGAGAATGGCGCGATGTCTGATGTGCAGACCTGACGAATTACATGCCTGGTGGAAAGGAAGCCCCGCCGCGGTGGTCTAGTGGCTAAGGTACTCGGCTGCTCACCCACAGGTCGCGGGTTGGAATTCTTGCTGCGGCGGCTGCATTTCCGATGGAGGCGGAAATGTTGTAGGACCATGTGCTCAGATTTGTGTGCACGTTAAAGAACCCCAGGTGGTCAAAATTTCCGGAGCCTTCCACTACGGCGTTTCTCATAATCATATGGTGGTTCTGGGCCGTTAAACCACACATATCAATCAATCAAGGTGGAGAGAATTGAAAAAAAAACTTTACGGTGAGAGGGAGATGAGGAAGATGAAGTTGACACATCACGGCTGACACACTTACGTTAGTGGAGTGATTTAATATAATGAATCAGAAAGCTCGCTTCATAACGTGGTTTTGGGATGTGAAACACGACAATCATTCTTCTTCGTACATTATTATTATTAATATTATTATTATTATATCATTATTATTATTAATATTATTATTAATAATAATAATAATATTATTATTGATATTAGGAATTGAAGTTTATCGTATCAGTGCATACGTCAAAGGCATGCTACAAGTGCAGAGATGATCCAGTAGGAAAGACCATGTGTTGCAATACTGTGTGAACCAATCTCGACCCCCACCGTGGTGGTCAAGTTGCTAAGGTACTCGGCAGCTGACTCACAGGTCGCGGGATCAAATCCCGGCTGAGATGGCTTTATTTCTGATAGAGACGGAAACGTTGTAGGCCCATGTGCTCAGATTTGGGTGCAGGTAAAAGAACCCCAGGTGGTCGAAATTTCTGGAGCCCTCCACTACGGCGTCTCTCTTATTCATATGGTGGTTTTGAGATGTTAAATCACACATATCATTATGTGTGAACCAATCTGTAATGAAAAATATTCAACATGATTGGGCTAATGTTAATTTGGAAATAACATATTATAATTAATATTATTACATGTACTAATGTCACTAGTACTAATAATATAATTATTTCTACATTTGGCAGTAAGAAAAATTTGAATGCTGTGTGTAATGACTGGAAGGTAAAAATGGTGATTGCAAAGCGAGCCACCATTACGTGATAAGCGAGATACTAATTCATATCACTCGAGTGACTGGGTTGAGCTATTATTAGAATGTTTGCCTATAGCTAAGGAAATTCACGGTTACGACGAAGAATGAAACACAATGACCCAGCAGACTGCCAAAAAGAGTACGCTTTGTGCTCCGTTATCACGGGAAGAGCGAATACGTTTCTTCTCTTTGACAGCGAGATGCACTACTTTAGAAGGGAGTGCGAATACTGAATGCAGGAACAGCGCAACCTAAAAGTTGTTACTTCGTAACTACGGAAGCAAAAAAAAAAAATAAGGACAGAAAAGAGCGCTGTCTAGGTTGTGCTGTTCCTGCATTCAGTATGTCCTACCAACTTGCCCAAGCTTCCACGCTTCATGAGTGCGAATAATACTAAAAAAACGAAAGTGGTCTTTCAAAGGCATTCTATTCAACACTTTCGCCTTAGCAAACTTATAACGAAAGCGAAAACCGATGCATTTATATAAGTAATAATCCAATCACAGACTACGTAGTGCTCCAGCGTTGCCCGTATTTAAACGAAACAATGGGGTTATTTCCTTGATTAGAGCGGCGACAGGTGTGTATTTTGCTGACTGATGGAAAAATTATTGCTTTCACAAAGGATGAGTTGCTAACGTCGACTGTGACAGGGCAAGGATGGGCAAAAAGCATAGTTTTCTTAGAAATGGCACCCGAGTAAGTGAAAAAATTTTTATCAGATGCATTGATTGGACTAAAAATTTCTGATGTATACCAATTGATCGGCACTAATGTTCTTGGTGTTCTCATCAACGTATTTTTATTATGTTAGCACTGCAGTTCACTTATACTGAAAGCGGCTCTAGACCACCTGAGGTTATCTATTTAGATTGCTCTCGAGATATTCTGTGCTGTCGGGCTGAAGTGCGAAACCTAATGACACCTCGTATATGCGTCCCTTATCACGCAGCACACCTCTCCAGGAGAGAAGCGAAAAGCAAGCTGCTTCGTGAGCTCGTGCCAGCGCTGGCTTGATGCCAACAGGCCAGAATGATGTCGAACATCCTGAACCGAAGCTTCAGAACTCACCGTCGGACGCACAGCACCCCTCCGGTCGCATGGTGACCGCCACGGTGACCGACCGGATTCCGAGGAATAACACCTTGTCCGCGTCGGGGGCTGCGCTTACCGACGTTCCCGAGGACGAGGAACTTCGAAGTGGCGGCCGGAGACAAAGCTCGGTGGCCTTCGTGTCTGCGACGGCGTCGACCACGCCGGTCTCAATTCAGGACACCAAGGTTTCCCTCGCAATGTACGCCACGCTAAATGCGTCAGGAGGTGCTCTTCCCAAGAACCGAGACTGGCTTCGGTGAGTATACGCACTAGTTGTGAGATGAAGATTGCTCGGAAAGTTGGAAAGACTCGCATCTGCACCTTGCTCCTATTTGCGTTTTTCCAGATGCAGAAGGGCACTCTAGCATTTCTCATATCTTCATCGTCCATGATGAACAGAATGCTTGAGTGTATGATTTTAGAGTGATTGCTGCATGCACTAGCGGTGACAATTTGCTGAGGGCGAGCAGGCCATGGATAATTGGGTGCGCCTCGGTGGATCAGTGACGGGCGTGCTCGTCTGCTGACTCGAAGATCCCTGTTTTTATCAACGCCGTGGTGGTCACATTTCAATGCACACAATATGGTAGAGCCTCGTGTACTGTGTGATGTGCGTGCACGTTAAAAAAACCGCCTTTAGACTGGTAAAACATTTGGATGTTAAAACACCTTAGCACCTTTAGATGTAAAACACCATTAGATGTTAAAGCACGCAAATTTTGACCATCTGCAGATAGTCCAAGTGTACAGAGTGCTGCACTTCGGCTCTCTCATAATCTTATCTTAGTTTTGGCCCCTAACTCCACATATTATTAGTTTTGCTTTGTGGTTCTTATTGAGAGCTTTTGTTTGCTGCATCAGAGGTCAGCCTAGAGAGAGAGTATTAGGCAAGAAAATAAATTAGATATATTTCACGTGCTTCTAGGCTGTAATTCACGGCCAGCAGTGGTGATTTTCCCTCCCCTAAAAATTCGGCAGTCCCCATGTACCATGGCAATCGATCAGGGGCATAGGTAGAATGTTTTTTCGGGGGAGGGGGGCGTTCACACTGGCCCGACGGAGAGGGGGAGCACAGGCATGAGCTTTCCTTTGTGATGTGATTATCGGCGGTAGTTTGAGCGGATTGTGTACATGTATATCAAAGTAATGGGACTCCTTCCTCCCTTCCCCATGCCCACATGCTTGTACGAGAGTGAGCAAAAGTACAGTAATACCAGCAAAAAACACAGTAAACAAGCGGCACAGTTGTCCTTTCAGGCAACGGCCTCTCGTCGCATCATTGAATGTACCAGTCTTCGAAAACGCATCATTGGCCTCGCCGTGGTGGTCTAGCGGCTAAGGTAGTCGGCTGCTGACCCGCTGGTCGCGGGTTCAAAACCCGGCTGTGGCGGCTGAAATTCCGGTGGAGGCGGAAATGTTGTAGGCCCGTGTGCTCAGATTTGGGTGCACGTTAAAGAACCCCAGGTGGCCGAAATTTCCGGAGCCCTCCAGGACTACGGCGTCTTTCATAATCATATGGTGGTTTTGGGACGTTAAACCCCACATATCTATCTATCTAACGCATCATTGCGATGACTCGCCCGGTTGGAGGAGACCTCGTTAATCATTAATCTCTGTTAAGCGCAGATAGCGTAGTCTCCGTTGAAGCGAAGTGCATTTCACAAGTCAATGATGGCTCTGCTTACAGCGTGGAATGGGAGTGACTTCATGCCTATAAGAATTATTTTTATATTCTTGTCCCAACATCAATCAGCCTTTATGCAGCAATAGCTTTTAGTAAAAATTAATAAGTTCACTGCACGCACCCACGTATGCTCGCGATACTCGATAAGTATTTTTTTTGGGTCAAATATGTTGTACGTTGGCAACACAATTTTGCACACGTTAATTTTCAGGCATAATTTCTCACAACGATGGTTTATATTGCAGTTGCACTGTGACTTTTGAAAACCTCTCCAATGGCAGAGGTTTTATAGTGAAATCGGCAAGGGCAAGATAATCATTGTTAAAAAATGTTCACATGGTCTCAATAAAAAATGCACCTGCTGAGACCAGACTATATGCCTACTCATATATATATATATATATATATATATATATATATATATATATATATATATATATATATATATATATATATATTGTCACGCAGCAAAGGACGACGCAGTTGTCTATAAGGAAAACCAGTTTATTGGAGCGAGCTTGTGCTCCCCTAACAACTGAAAGAATACACAGGCGGCGAAGCAGCGGTCGGCAAAGCGACGTGCACGCTAGTGAGCGTCGGCGGTAGAATGTCGCGGCATCGGCTGTGCGGGAATTTATATCCCTCGGCGCGAGCGTTTCTCTTTTTTTTTATTGATATGATATATAAGGAGATGTTGGCGCACCATTATGGCGCCGGCTACTCCTTATCCGTTGATTGAAACTTGAACACGTATCTTGAGAGCGTTTCTCGAATAGTCGAATTGTATCGAGAACGCTGTGATAGCGTTTGTTTGAAACGCTGTTTGTTCCGAACGCTCGAAGCGCTGTTCAATAGCGTTTGTTCGAAACGCTGTGATAGCGTTTGTTCGAAACGCTGTGAAAACGGTGATAGCACAGGCCGGCGCAGCCAGGCCGAAAAAGCAAAACGCAAATAAACAAACCCAATGCATGGTTCGCGGCAATATGTAAGAAAAAAGAAAAAAAGACTTTCTTTTTCTTTTGTTCTTTTTTCTTTTGGTCTTTTTTCTTTCCTTTTTTCTTTCTTTCTTTTTTTTTAGTTCTCTCTCACTCTCGCAAACATCTTTCAAGGCGAGAGGGACGCGGCAGCAACGAAGTTTGGAAGTTCATGTCAGTATAACCCATCCCCTGATGAAGGGAGGTCCCCTCCCGAAACTGTTGGGAAATAAATATATTTATCCTTGTTGACAACGCTCCCGTTGTGCCATATCCCATACCTTCATTATATATATATATATATATATATATATATATATATATATATATATATATATATATATATATATATATATATATATATATATATATATATATATATATATATACGGTGTGTGTTTATTGAGTATATCTCAGAACACGTTCGCAGGGTCAATATCTAATATGTTTGAACGTGGCCTATCAGACCTTAAAACTGCGCCTGGCTTTTACATATAAAATGAACCTCTGCCTAGAGAAATTTACTGTAGTGATCAACTCCGGCCAGATCTGTTCCGGTGGGTACAAGTGTAACCACTGCTGCAGCAATAATCGCAATGCCAAGCCAACTTGAAATGCTCGCGGCCGAGATTCCTGCTCAAGATCTCACAGTGTCCAAGCCTTGACAAACGCCGCACACATTTTTCCGTATCCAGACATTATTCACTGCAAAATCGTCTAAGCACTATTTGTGATCGTAGCACCATTAGTTCGGAATCCATGCCAGCGCGAAGCGACAAAAAAAAAAAAACAAGTGGGTAAGTGGCAAGGGGAAGGGGGTTGCGCGAAAAATTTCGGGAGGAAATTTGACTCCCCCCCCCCCCCCTGGCTACGCCACTGCAGTCCAGTGTTATGCGAGGTGAAGGTGACCGTGTTTTTTTAATGGAGCTATATGTTAAAGAATGACGGTAATTATATGTACAAATAGTGCACCGTAAATATACATGTTGAACAGTCGCATTATGTATTATATAAGCAGTTGTGTGCGCAGCGACGAGAACCACAACATCGTTATTAGCAACACCAGAACCGGTAAGCTGAGGCTACCAATCTTGCGCTTGCGAGATTGGTAGCCTTGCATTAGTGCTGCGCAGACAAACTTACATTATTGGCGCTTATGTACAATCTGCGTTAACGCAACGTGACGGCTGTATCATAAGAGTATGTGTGTAAGCGTGTATAAATTCGTTCTCCAGCGCTGAACCACAGTTGACATTCCACAAACATTACATCGGCTCAGTCAAATTTCTTCTTCATACAGTCATGTTATGCCGTACTAAGTTTGTTATCGATACCGTTACAGAAACGGCCAGGAGAGCGGAAAGTCATAGGCGGCTAGATAGATAGATAGACAGATAGATAGATAGATAGATAGATAGATAGATAGATAGATAGATAGATAGATAGATAGATAGATAGATAGATAGATAGATCGATAGATACGCTCAAACTTACCGAAGTTCGCTAAGAAATGCTTCACGTTTAAAAGCAACCTTGAGACGGGCTCAATGAAAATGGAACGTGACGCGCGTGTTTCCCGCCCTGCATCTGTCGGCGGATTGTGGCCGGGATAAATGGTGGACGCGAGCATGCGTACATTTTCTGCGTGTCCCTAACGGCGACTGTCAAAGACTTTCAGGCGGGGCAGAGGTAGCAACGCAGCTCCAGCTGGTCAGTGTGCAGTGCCTATATCTACGCATTGCGCATTGTCAGCTGAAAAATTGTCAGACATGGTTAGGGGTCCATTAACACTTTCCTGGCTTCAGTGAAAGATTTAGACATCTATTCCCAATTTTCTTAGCAGCTAGGGCAAAATTTACGTTAATAAAATGGTGGTTTTGTAACGTTAAACCCCACATGTTATTACTGTTAGATTTTACGTTACAGAAAGCTTTCGAACCCCACATGTTATTACTGTTAGATTTTACTTTACAGAAAGCTTTCGAATAGGCACCCCGAAGAAATAGTGTCGAAACCACACGAGGTTGTTAAACTTATATACTGTTTCGGCTTTGCGTTGGGGATGCCATTCTGAGAATCTAGCGGGATTACCAAAGCTTGCGTCAAACATGATCACACTCACTAAAGTGACAGCTCTCCGCCGAGCCTTAACTTCCTTGACTTGAGAGCAATGAATCACATTATAAATTGACATAGAGCCTCACACTGTCATATCTCACCTCTACAGCAACCATTCGCCAAGTAATAGCCCATGTTTGAAGCTCAGTTGATGATGTAAGATCCCGCAAGCCCAATGCAGCTGGAGTGGCTAGAATGTTTATAGTTTTGATTTATAGCTGGCAAAAATGAGATCACACAGGAGCGATTTAGATTGAAAGTAGCGGAATTACCTCTACACCTTGCAAATTGAGATGAAAAAAAAAAAATATGTGTGAACTGTAGGTTCACGTATTTTGCCAGCTTTTAACTATTCTGTGCCGGCCCTTAACTATTATTGGTAATAGCAGTTAAAAGCTGGCCCTGTGCCAGCTTTTAACTAATATTCATCGTAGCTTGCCTTTCCGGCCATGGTGGTCCTGCAAGAATGATGCGAAAACA